TATGCAACATTAGCCGAAGTTTAAGAATATAACATTTACTTATAAATTGGTTTTGTTACGACCAATTTAATTTTTAAAACTATAAATTAATGTATTGCCCTGTCAAAGATATGATATAAAATGAAGTGAGTTGTGTTGGATGCTCAATTTCAAAATTTTTTCAAAGTTTCAAACAGCATGAATGCCAAAAACCACCCTAACTTCGAGTGAAATCGTCATAATAGATAATAAACATAATTGAGGGAGTTGAAATTTAAGCTTTACAAATAAATAATACCCGATTATATACGCTTGGTCAAATTAGAATTTTTTTGGGTTTATATGATATTGGGTACAATAAATTTCAATAATGATACTTTTTCACCTATTTACAATTTACAGAATCGAAGAGGTATAACCTTGAAAGCTTTAATTTTACTACGCGGATATGTCTTGCGTGTAACAACGAAACAACCGTGGTTTTTATTTTGAATATTCAATTGAAAACCAGAATCGAATTTTCAGAGATTCAAGATTAAAGAAATTGATTATAAAAAAATCATCTTCTTTCGCCCGTGAATGTGTAGGGACCTATTTTATATTGTCGCTCAATAGTAACAAAGCGCCCAGGAACAAAAAAAAATGTTTCTGAAAGGCTGTGAAAGTTTCACTTTAATTAGTTTAAAAAGTGGGCCTTAAATCATTGAGATTTAACAATTAAGATACGGCAAAATAGGAGAGGGGAGATAAGAGTATGTTGGCATGAACAATAATTGATATTTCTGATTACTTATTTTCGTAATATGCAAAATCTATGTAACTGATGCTATAAAAAGTTGTTTCTTTTTCAAACTTACGTCATTATTACTATTTTTAGCGTTTGCGGCCTGCGTGTTTTATAGAATAAATATGCATTGGTAAAACAAAAACCAACCATACAATGTATAGGTGCATGCAAAATCGGAAGAAAAACTTGTATAATGTGCATTTCACCTGAAAATGTGACTTTAAGGATTACATCTGTCGAAAGCTCCATTTATCGACATTTTTTACACCACAAAGGTTAATATGAATAGGTTCTAGGCAACACCATCTCAAAAAAAATCACTTTCGGACTAAAATAATAAAACCGGGTAATAATAAATTAATAAAGTATCCTAGCTCTACATGATTTTTGTCCAAATTTATTCCTTTTAACTAACCAAAAAAAAAGCTTTTTCGAATTTGTAAGTTGCATTTGTTGAAAAAGCGCTGGTATATCATCACCTATTTGGTACAGCCCAATCCTTCACTAAAGTTCGCACTTGCATTCCCGATATTGTTTTTTCAAACAGTGACGTTCGTAAATGTACATGTGTAGCAAAAAAAAAACACTGTACGCCATTAGTGTTGGTAAAAATTATTCTTGAAAATTTTATTAATCACTACACTATATACCTTCTTAGGACTTTTATGTTACCATAATATTTTATTGATGTGAACGTTTTAAGAAGCACTCTATTAAAGTTGAAGATTATATCAAATGTGCTGCAAAAGATTCTCTAAACTCCATTTGCATATTTACAATATTTCAGTATTGTTTGAAAAGCTTTCATAATGCGTTATAAGAACCACTAGTTTGAGGAAAAATTAATTTGATAATACCATAAAGTCAAGTCGCCAGGCATTTTATGATTGATTTTTTTTATTATAATGAGAGGTTAGGACACATAATGTGTTCTGCTGTCTCGTCTTCCGCTCTGTACGCCGGGATGCTACTCAAAGACAATCTGAATCGATGATTGTTAAGTAAGAATACCTGTGGCCAAGCGTAGCTTTTTCCTGAATTTCCGATATTATTTTTTGAAACAGTGACGTTCGTAAATGCATATGTGTAGCAAAAAAACACTGTAAGCTACTGGTGTTGGCAAAAATTATTCTTGAAAATTGTTTCTCGGATTTTATTAACTCTGACGTATTGTTTTCGAACATTTTATTAATCACTACACTAATATATCTTCTTAGGATTTTTATGTTAGCATAATATTTTATTGATGTGAACGTTTTAAGAAGCACTGTATTAAAGTTGAAGATTATACCAAATGTGGGAAATACCCTGTGCTGCAAAAGATTCTCTAAACTCCATTTGCATGTTTACAATATTTCAGTATTGTTTGGAAAGCATTCATACTGCGTTACAGGAATTACTACTTTGAGGATAAATTAATTTTATAGCACCATAAGGTAGGCATTTTATGATTTTTTTTATTATAATGAGAGGTTAGGACACAGAATGTGTTCTACTATCTCGTCTTCCGCTCTGTACGTCGGGATGCTACTCAAAGCCAATCCGAACATGTGGCTATGCGTAGCTTTTTCCTGAAAATCGTCAGATATTGTTTGGCTGTTGGTTCGTTTGGATTGCTCAATAGATTGCTAGCTAGCCAAAAGTTTTCATTTTCAAGCCATTGTTTTCTAAATTGTTTCCTCGAGTTTCCCGTATCACCTGTTTAGTGGCTGAAGTCACCAGACCGAGAGAAGCCTTCATAATGTTAAGTTTGAAGAATATGGAGTTTGCTCCCCATACCGATTACTTTTCACTCTTCAAACCACGGCAGTAGAGTAGCCATGTCACGTCATCGCCTCCAGTAGTGGGAACGAGGTCGTCGGCTCATCTCATCAAAATGAGCGGGGAAATATTGCAGTGTTATGATGTGGCATAGTATTACGAAATATTAAACGATTTTTTATGGAAACTGGCGAATTAAGATTATTTATTACATTAAACAAAAAATGTCGAGAAATGTAGGATTCTGCGCTCATTCATTTTGGGCCATTTTATATCATTGTATAAGTGTGATATATGATCAAATTTCCTTAAACCATAGACAAATCTAATAGATAGATAAATAAGTAGATAGATTTATTCACAAAACCCATTACAATGGATGTTTCGTCACAAAAAATAACATTAAAATGTTTTTAAATAGATGCAATAGAAAATGTATATGTCTTACAATTAACTTATACATATAGGACAATCATATAAGATGTGTATATAACAAAGAATACAAATACATCATTATAACATTACAAACATTTATTTAGAACATTTAAAATTCACTTAAGCTATAAAAATCATTGGTTGCCAGAAGCATCTTGACATGTTTCTTAGATTGCTTGGTAGAAAGGTTCTTTAAGCTCGACGGGAGCATATTATAATAGTGCGGCTCTACATAGCCTAAAGATCTTCTACAAAATATGTGATTCAGTTTAGGCTTTAAGAGATTTTCTCTGTTACAAGTGTAGTGACAATGGTTGTCAATGTGTTTCTTATGTAAATGTTTATTTTTGTGTGTAACTAGCAGCATTTTAAATATGAATATACAAGGAACCGTCATTATTTTGTGTTGCTGAAATATTACTTTGGAAGACCGTCTCGGAGAAAGTTTAAACATTAGCCTAAGTATTCTTTTTTGATGAACAAAAACTCTTTCAGCATCACTAGCTTGCCACCCGTTCACAATGTTGTAATGGTTAATGTCCACGACGTTGTTAACAAAAGTTAAGACGTTTTTAAGAAATGTCAACTAGAATAAAAGGACTTAGCATCAATAACTTAAGATATGCTGACGACACTGTTCTGTTATCCAATACTCCGGAAGAACTACAAATGCTTTGCGATAGACTCACCAATGTATGTAACGACTATTGACTAAAACTGAACACCTCAAAGGCGAAATGTGGGATTGTATGTAAACAACAATATGCGTATGTGATTACGGCGTATGGAGCAGGTAGATAATATTGCGTACCTGAGCTCTAATATAAACAACAACTGGGATATGAGTCAAGAAATCAAAATTCGTTTAGAAAAAGTTAGTTCTGGTTGCTTGGCTGCATTTTTCCGGACGAAGAAAGTGCTATGCGGGAGAAACCTCAACATCGAATTTAGGTTGAGGCTTACAAGATGTTACATATTCTCAACTTTGCTCTATGCGATGGAAATCTGGACGCTGACGGAAATACTGTTGAAAAGACTTTGAGATGTGGATATACGCAAATTGCTACGTGTAAGCTGGATTGACAGAATCCGCAACGAACAAATATTGGAGCGTCTACATAAACAATCTGAAATAATTAAATTGATTAAGACCAGAAAGCTAAAATATTTTGGGCACTTAATTATGCAGGGCAAGATAGAAGGAACAAGACGGCCAGGTCGCAGGAGAATATCATGGCTTCGAAATTTACGGGAATGGTTCTATACGTCAAGTACAGGCTTATTTAGAGCTGCCGTGAATAAAGTTTTGATAGAAAATATGCTAGCCAACGTTCGACGACGGACGCGGCACATGAAGAAGAAGAAGACTTACAGTTGCTTTCATAGCCAATGTTGTACCTGTAACCGTGACCTTTAGTGAGACATCGTCGTGTACTAACTAAAACTAATGTAATGTAATGTATGTAAATTTTTGTCGCCTTTTCGCAATTGAACTTTCTTAACACCATTCTGCAAACAATAAATTATTTCTCAAAAAAATTAAATAAGTTCTGCTTAGATGCGGGTGCTTCCCAGAAAGTATGTTGAATTTTTGTGCTATATTTTCCGAACGCCTTGTATTATGGGTAACGCCGTTTTCCCAGTTCGTGCGAAAACTTCTGCTTTCTTCACGGTTTGCTTGCCGCACTTTCGATCAACATTCTGCGTATTCGTCGGATTGTATCACCAAACCTCAATTTAACGATTGACACGGTTGGTAACAAGTGATTAATTCTAAGTGGGTGGCAAAAACACTGAGTACGTCGTGCGTGAAACATTGTTGCTTCTCCTTCTAAGAATCGTCTCAAATGCAGTGTTATCCGCACTGCAAGGTGCAAGTTGAAACATTATCGCAATTTACGCAAATAATTTCTGCCTCTGATTGGCTATTACTTATTTTTTAAAGATATATAGCAGTACTAATTAATTATTATACTGTTTCCTTCTTAATCTACACCGATTTTTAATACAAATTTTATCTTCATAGTATGATACTTACATCATCATCATCTTCGGTGCCATTTTCCTGGTGGTCGTCTTCCATGAGAACGAAACCTACATCGTTGTTATTATTTTTAGCGTCCGGAGTGTCATTATCAATGTCCCTATTATCACTAACTTCGTTAATAACTATCCGGCGACGCTTCGAACGTGGACTGAGCAAATCGACGGTAAGTTGATCACTAGCCAGCGAATCGGGCGAATCTGGATTGTCCATCGTCAGTTTTTTTCAAAATTGTGTAATGTTCAAAGTTTTTCGCTATGAGCACTGCTTTTTAAATATAAGGTAGATTTCGGCTCAAACGTATAAATGTTCCATCTTAAATAAAAGCGTAAGAAATGAAGATATTGATACATGAAAGATATAAGTAACAATATCGAAATTATTGAGGCAAAAAAAAAATCGATACCTCGGACATTACATTAATTATTAAGAAAGCTAAAGATCCTACAATCCTACAATAATGTAATAATATTAAAAGAAAAATATCGTTTGCACTATTAGATCCGAATCTAATTGTCTGATTTAAGAGGGTGAATCGTGTACGTTGCCCATCAATGGTACGAACATTATGGTGAGAAAATTATTTTTTTTTTAAATTAATGATGCCAAGTTGGTATAAGATACACACACCCATATTTTAATTTCGACTAGCTGCTGGGCTAGCAGTAATCTCATTTTTGCAGATTTACTTGCATCATCGAGGTCTTAAAAATATTAGACTGTATAAAACTCCCAATTAAAAAAAAATTGCAAAAGAAACACCGTTAGTTTGAACTTTTAACATTTGCCCTCAATGCGCACAGCCAAATCTTAATTTGTCACATAAAAGCTTTGGGTCGTAAACAATATTTTAGAGGAGTGTTAATCGACAATGTCAATAAATTAACGGAAAAATTAACACCTAACTGTCTGATCTTACGTCTTTACCTGGCAACGATAATGGTGCAGACGCAACTTTTTTGTTAATTTGTAATTAAGACGGATATCTACATTGTGGAGCAATTTTCTTAACACGAAAATGTCAAAAAACACAAGTGATCTCAGTGATTCCGGCAAAATCTTGATATTTTGAACTCAGTTAAAATATTTACAATTATAAATAAAGCTTTATAAAATTGGTACTTCCTAACGCGAAAAACATTTGGAAAGGGTGAGCTGCAAATGGAATATTTGAACTATTCGAAAATCCCTTCATGGCAAAGTGTTTTTATTTGTAAACTGCATTCACGAAGGACCAAGTTGAATATAGTACTAAACATGCCATAATTCAATTTAAAAAATAAATTTTCAGGTAGTAGATGTGAAGAGAATAATATTGAATAACACAATTTGGTCTTCAAGTAGTAAAATTCTGTTCAAATGCATCGGGAGAATTTTATTCACTTAACATGAAGAATGGAATTAGGTTAGTAATCTTAATTGTTTATTTCAAATTTAACTTAAACCACTTATTTTTATTAAAACCGCTATAAAACGCAAACGTATTTATGGTTGCTTGAGTCTTCATTATTACAGGCTTTTAAACCATTCAGCTCCTATGCAGTAAAATGCAACTAAAATAAAATCAATCAAAATGTGTCGAGTCGAAATCTACCTAGCGCCTCTAAACGCGCCAAGTTAATCTGCTCCTTCGCATTATCCCGCAATAACCAACCTTTATCTAACTATGACGTCACGCGGCACCGTAACTCAAACAATCTAAATTCCAACGCAAAATCAAAGAGGGCGCACGAGTCCCGCGAACTTCGACGACACGTCAAGAGAGCTTCGGGCAAACTGAGGTTCCTCCACATTGTTGCCGCTGGCAACGAGTACCCAAAGAGGGGAGAGAGGCGAAGCAAGAGAGGTTGGACGGGTACCTGTCGTCCGAGAGCGGATCTCGGCCAAGTGGATTCTGCATGGTTATATAATTCGCTTTGGTGGTGTTCGGATTGTGCGCGATTGGTATTCGCTGGGTTTCGTGGTATAACCCGTACGCTTAGATGTTTATGCGTATGGTGCTTATACGTCGTATCGAGTTTTGGAAAATACCTGATCTGTAGTTAATATTTAAAACCTTGACCATCGGTTTTTACAAAAATTACCTGAAGTAGAGTTCGCCGAACGATATACCGTTGTTACCACATAATCCGGTAGTTAACTTCGGTAAATTTTTATCAAGGTCTAAGATAAATAGACGGATTTGTGTTTTGAGTTTGAGTTTGATCGATGAGATTCCTCGGTTATTATTAGTATATGCAGTGACAAATCCATTCGTACTTTAAAATGTTTACTATAAATATAAATGAAGGAGTTATTTTAGCTATAAAAAACAATTTTAGAATATTTATTAAAAAAAGTAATTTTACATCAAAATAATCACTAGTCACTGGACTCGTCCCCCACACTTCTACATAATTAATTATATTATATATTAATATATTAATAATAATTCTATTGCCCCAGAACTAAATTTCGGCGAAGTGTTGTTTCTTCTTAAACTGAGTTTCAGCTTTCCCCATATCAGTTCTATCGCATTAAAATTGCAGTGATATGGTGGAAGACTAACAACTTTGATAACTACTTCTTTGTGTAACAATTTTCAAAATACAAAACAATATTGAATGACTTCTTTAGTCGATAATGACTTCGGTATTTTTTCTGCTTGTGCAGTATGGTAGCTGGCCATCATAACACTGGTGGAATATTGGGAAGCAATTTTTCATGTTTTCGTACTAGTCAACCTTTGCTTCTTTGACATCTTTTGCAGAAAGCAACAATGCGTTATCTACCCAACCAGTCTCAGAGCCCGCATGTACTACGATAATCCGTTTGCCCTTTGCGCGAAACTGGAACATCCATCCTGCTGTTTTGTAATAAAAACCAATTATTCGTACGAAACCACGCAAAGTCTCTTGGCAACAGTCAATGTTCAAAACACTACGCAACTCTCTGTAAAGTTTAAATTGATAAAACAATATTCTCCTCATACGCATCATATACCAACCGTCTAACTATTCCGACATGGTGCACGACAAGTAGACTTTTTTGGCCCTACCATCTTTCCGCGTTTTTCTTCCTTGGACACCATTCACGACTATGTGACGTACTGTGGCATGCGGCATTTTACTCATATCGGACATTAATTTTTTGACTGGACTTTTACCAGATGTCGATTTCAAAAACAGGAAGACATTTAAAATTATAATTTTGGCATCAACCGGCAAATGTGTCCGACTCTTTGATCCACTTGACGGATGTTCATCACCAACGATTATTACGCCATCGACCACAATATCAACTTCTTCGTCGCTGGACATCGCAAGTGACTAACAAAATTGAATAGTGTTAGTAGTATTGGTATTAGTTAGTAGTATTTGGTAAAAAATAAATTGTAACAAAATGTATATGGTACCTTAATAAAAATGGCACACTGAGTCTTGAAAAACAATTGGTAATTACTAATTACAAACGCAAGACGCAATATAAATAACTCCAAAGCTTCGAGGCCTACGAAAATACTGTTTTAGAGCATATTGGTATTTCAGCAATCACCATAAATCAACCATTGAACTGAGGTGGCTTTTACTTGATAAAAATTTATTTGTCGAAATAAATAAGAACTAAAAGTTCAGATTTTCACGAAATTATATATTTTGACATGCCAATTGTTTCGACAACACCATGTCTTTATCAAATGTGATAAAAATTTTGATAAAGACACGGTGTCGTCGAAACAATTGTCATGTCATATATATATATATATATATATATATATATATATATATATATATATATATATATATATATATATATATATATATATATATATTCTCACGTATTGATTCACGGATGGAAAAATGTGATGACACTATATTCCGGGATATCATCCGTTCGCTCGTTGAACTCCGACTGGAATCCTGCAGACGTTTCACCAAAATCTCACTTGGCATCTTCAATGCTCGCGCTCCGAAAACACCAAACCCAGTGTTCGAAGTGAATATACCTAAAAATCTGTAATATGTCGTAGGTAGTACTGTTCAAAATGATAAAAGGAGTATTTAAAGACTTCAAAATTCATGTCACAAAACAGGGAGTCTAAACCAACAAGCTTTCCATAATGAAGATTTAATTAAATACTTAGTACTTGAAAATGATCGTGCAGTGGAGTGCGCCTCTGTTTAACGCCCATAAAAAAGCTAATTAGAATTCTCTCAAACGGCGATAATAAAGCGAGTAAGAGTGCAAATAGAGAAAACTGAATCGACAAGATTTCTACTTCTCTGCAACCGCGCAGCGTGTTTACATCTAGCCCATTCGTCTCTTTCGATAAAAAGATCGCCGAGATAATAAAATCATTGTGTTAGTGTATGTCCGTCTCGATGGGGAGTAAATGTATTTCTTTAAATAGCGGGGCAAATCCTACGGAGTCATGCAACGAGTGCGCCATAAAAATATTCGAAATAATCGTCGTGAAAATAAAACTGATAGGTAATTTTTTATTGGGCAGGATAATTAAATTGAGATAATTGAAAATTAATTGTACAGTTAATAGCGATGTGTCAAATCTAGTTCGCTGTTATTGTTCGTCTTGTTAAAAATTGATTGCAATAGGATTTTCACAGTTTTTAAACATTACGACCTCGATCCGGTCCTGCCTGCGGCGAACAGCGTTTAGAAAATGGGGTAGAACTTCGAGAAACCGAATTAATATAACTCAAATTCTATTAAAAGATGTGTTAGAATACTCGATTTTGATTAGATTTTCAAACTAACTAATCATAGCTACAACCTTATTTCCTCGGATGACATGTTAATGTCAATAACTATTCCATTTTAATTTCAGATATTTGCCTTGGGCGAACTATGACGGTTTTCATACCATACTGAAATGCGCCTTTGCTTTTTTATGACCTCTCCACATTTTCTTCAGTGAATCGTTTCAGCTTGATCGTTTTTGGTTTTGTTTGTATGTTTTGGTTCTATTCAGAACCAACCAACCAACCAACCGGTTCAACAAATGTTGATTGATGATAACTATGACCTTTAAAACTTTTCCAGATTGAAATGCTCTGGAGTCTGGAATATGCTTCGTCATGTTGAAGTTCTTATTATGCAAATCTAACATACAAGTGAACTCCTATAGGGTCCCGTTTTTTTAAATATTAGTAATAATTTTAGTATGGAACTGAGGTGGCTTTTACTTGATGAAAATCCATTTATCAAAATAAATAAGAAATAAAATTTCAGATTTTCACGATTTTTTTTTTATTTTGATAAAGACACGTGTACGTAGTGTTGTAGAAACAATGGTCATGTCAAAATATCGTGAAAATCTGAACTTTTAGTTCTTATTTATTTTGATAATTTTAGTACCTTCCAATGTGTAGGTTTTTTTACTAGATATTTAGTATTTAAAACCACATAAACGAATGTAATATCATTACAACCTGCAAGTATTAAGAAAAAGAAACGATAATTAATTTTATAAGAGAAAGGTTTCAAAATTCGTGAACACAATTAAGTTACACTTTGTGCAAATATTTTTAAGTTACAGAGTTTTCGTATACTGATTGGCAAACAATTGTGGGGAAAGCAACGGAGCGAGTGTTTAATAAACAAGTGAACTAAAAAGGTTACCAAACGAGTTACTTTTTTTATCGATAGTTTTTGGATATGTTTTTGAAAAACAAAGCGAATGCATTCCACTGACATGACCATCAGAATTGGTATCAAAATTCAAGCAATGCGGTAATATCTCCGAAAATATCCGATTGCTCTCGATATATAATTGGGCATTTTACGGAAGGGAGAAGAAAAAACATATAATCAATGTTTTATAGATAAATATCAAAGATTTCTAATTCATAAACTTACCAAGTCCATACAATTTCTTTTAGGGTTGTGGAATTGACCGGCCAATTTCTTTTGAGTCCATTGATTGGTCAATTGACCGAAATAATTTTTAAAATACCTTGAAATTTATTTTTATTTTGTGCGTCACGTCGCCGTGGCGTCATTCTGGGAACCAAATGGAGTCGATATTATTACTGAGATTCCCCGAAACGCTAAGTAAATATCGTATTTGGATATTCCTTGGAGAAGGTTTTAGGTAAATTGGACATCACAAATGCATTACAATTTATTATAAAATAGACATAATTATTAAATAATGGTAGATAACACTCCAAAATTCAAGATGCTATTTAAAAAATTTTTTGAGTAGTTAATTATTTTTTTTTTCTATGGCAACCAAGTATCTAATGCTATTTACGTTAATTTTATGACCTGCCCTTAGTCATTGCAAAATTAAACCAAATATGTCTCTTTAACCTTTTGTTTTTGAAAAACATATTTTTTTCAGCAAAAGAATAATATCTTAATTTGCTATATAGTGGAAAAAATACTTTCAATGTTCACTTCCTTAAACCAATTGCAAAACAAATATTTGTGGTGCACATTGTTAAATCGTACCTTGTGGGTAGACATACTATTAAAATTAAATGAATATCTTCTATTCTTAACGCTAATAGCTCAGGTTAAATAACTCATTCATTCATATAGTTGCGCATAATTATAAAGCACATCAGCAAGTCGAACGAGACACAAAGATCGTTAAATCCTAACCCTGGGGTACCAACTATGATAAGTGGTTTCACCTTTTCGATATGTTTCATTGTTTTGCACCTGCACAACTTATAAAACTCGCCTCGGGCAGCCTTGAAATACCTTTCCCTACGTGTACGTATATGTAC